TAAAACATCGCCATCTTTTACTTTTCAAGTATCTTAAAATATCTTCAAAACGGTCAGAGTTTGGCTATTAGCTGTACTTGATAGGCCTATGCCTGTGAAAGTATGAAAATCCTTAATTATTATAAGTTGTAGCAGTTTGCCTCTTTGAGAAAATAGTTTAAATGAATGATTTACGATTATATTTTTTCCGGTTTCCTATAAATAAAAAATTCCAATTAAAATCAATTTCGATCTGTAGGATATCTATGGAAGTATTATATGTGAGTTTGTTTGTTTAACATTTTCTGTTTAGTGAGTAATTTTATCAAATTAAAGTGGAAAAAAGTTATAAACATCAACATTTATTTATCTCATCTTGATTATACTATTTTTGTGTCTCGTAATTTTAGATCAGGAGTGCTGTTGGCCATAGTGCAAACTGTTTATGATTTGTTATTGTCAAGGGACCAATATTACAATATTCTTTCTATTTTGTTATCATTGTTGAGATGTTACACTTTATACTGTTGTATAATTGGTAATGATTACTATATTATTTCCAAGTTCACAGTTTAGAGATTGTCATATTCACCAAATATTCATACAAGTCTGAGATTATTTTTGATCTTACCATGATAAAAAATAGTTATAAAATAAGGAAATAATGCGTTTATCTTCAAGGGGCGTCCATTCTTGGAACAGATAGACATATTTTATTAATTAATTTTACGTTATTAAAAATTAAATTGTACAAATATAGAACCAGTAATTATATATATCTATCAACACCATATTGCTTTTCTTTGCAACCTTGTTTGATAGTCATGTATAGTCTTATTTTTCCTTATATTTTGTGAATGTTTTGTATTGTTGATTGATTTGAATTTTTCATTCTTTATAAGGCATAAGTTTTTATTTCAGAATATATTAATTCTACAATATGTATTTATATGAGTTATATTGATTGAATAAATATTAATAAATAATATAGGCTAAAAATTGTATCTACTAAATTTTATGGTGAAACAATACATTTTGGTTAATTTTAGTAGTTTTTTTTAAGAATCAGTGTTAAAGTTGAGTCTAAATTTTAATGAGACTCGTATTTGAACAAATGGGATTCAAAAGTTGAAGAGAGGAAAATAAAATTATTTAAATGGTTAAGGAATAAGTGTGATGAGGTGAAGAATTTGTTTACGAAAAAGTTATATTAGTATACATCGTATCAAGTCTTAAACAGTAAAACAACCTTTCGATATATAAAAAACAGAATAAACTCTTTAAAGTCAGATTTAAAAAAAGCACAAAATGAAACATACTCTTTATACAAAAAAAAAGAGCCCTTAACAAAGCAAAACTTTTACAAAATATCTGCATATATACAAAATTGATCACTTGGATTATGACAGTGCCCAATAAAAAAAGAAACGGGAGTATAAAAAAGGGCAGTTCTACAAAAATATAAAAAGAAGAAGCACATTGGATGAAAAATATATACTCTTTAGTTTTTGACCACCAGTTGTAATTGAACAAACAAAAATTAACAGATAACAAGCTTTATTAAGCTTTCTCTTAAGCTCCTTTAAGAAAACTGCATCCACCACATCTAAAGGCAAACCATTTCAAAAGCCAACCATCCTGTTAGAAAAATGTAGCTGTCTCACAGACCATAATAATGCAAATATAAAGTTTCTTTGTGGCATTTGAGTAGGATATTGTGACTGCTTCATGGCACTTCAGGATTTTGACACCATAATGTGGATTAATATATTATAAGACAACAGCCAACGTGTTAAACACCTCGGTCGGATCCTTTCTAACTCTTTTTTTTTTTTCAATAGAAAACAAGCTCAGATCTTAACCTATCCTTTTATGACAACCTGTCCATCTAGGGTATCATCCTAGTAGCTATTCTCTGAACCCTTTCAAACAACTCAATGTCCTTTCTGAGGTAAGGAATCCAAGACTGAACACAGTATTCTAAATGTTGCCTAACCAATGACCGATATAATGACGTTGTAACCTCTTTTAACTTGTATTCAGTATTTCTGTATATTCACCCTAAAAATCTTATTTGCCCTGCAACTAGCAACATCATATTGTTTGGATGGTTTAAGAGATTGATCAACCAGAATGCCAAGATATTTTTCTTCCATAACACTGTTAAGGTTATTCCCATCAAAATTATACTCATAATTCAAATTGTGATACACCACACACATTTATTATAATTAAAAGCCATCTGTCTCACAGCCAGCAAAGCCCAAAACTTTAATGTCACCAGCAAATTTAAATAAACTATTAATCCGTCATCTAGTGCACTCCGAAACAATAAAACCAAAAATAAAATCTCGTTTATGTATTAAAAAAAAATTACACTTACTGAACCTTAAATGATATTGACACTAGATAATTTAGTGGTTGACACTGCTCGCTTGAATTTTCAGTTCCAGACCATAGGGAAAACTATTGGCAACCTTTGAGAAAATTCATTTCTAAGAGCTTCCACTAATAGGAAATTCCTCTCTGCCATCATAGCTAAAGCTTTAGTCACTTAACCCTGGAGTCACACTTTTAATGCAAGAATATGGGTAATCAAGTAAGAGAATGGATATGCAAAACTTTGACAAATCCAGTTAAAGATGGCCGAAGGAATAAAGGATTTGATCATAAAAAAATCATGAATCAAAGATGTGTAGTCACATGAATTCTGATTTGTTAGATGTTCAGTTAAAAGTGTAGGTTTGAATGCTGTGACATACAGCCTTCAACCACTAACTAGTGCCCTGGTAAGTGACATTTCTACAGACCTACTTGTATTTTTTTTTTGAGTAATTGAGTAGAAACTATAGGATAACTGGATGCTTGCCAAGAAAAGTGTTGCAGAGGTCAGGGTTTCACACGAAAGGCCATTATTTTCTGTTTGTATGTTATCTTTCAAATTTCCGGCTTGTTGATATACACTCTTCCCGTTAAGTAACCCCACAAAAGGAAGTCTGCTGCTGACAAATCTGGGGGTCGTGGAGACCAGTTTACGTCTCCTTTACGCGAAACTACCCTGTTTGGGAACAGTTCACGCAATACTGCTATTGTTGCTTGTGCTGTATTATAGGTGGTTCCATCTTGTTGAAACCACAATTTTCGTTGATGACATGATCAGAAGGAGCAACTTTAACACCAAGGTCTTGATCGTATGCTCTTTGAGTAGAAAGGATGGAACATTCAATTTTTGTAATAAAGATGAACATTAAGAGAATGTTACTGAATTGTCCAACTGTTCATCTTTACAATTTGCACCCTTGGTCTTCATTCTGGAAATGACAGAAAATGTTTTTCATTAAACTTTATAATTAAACATTGTAATAGTCTCAGTTTTGCAGGATCACTAAAGGCTTACCAGAAAGTGTATTGTGGAGCAGAAATCTGAGTTTGATAAAAAAAAGAAACTGGACAGTTGAAAGCAATCTTTATTTTCACACAAACAATAATCAAGGTATAAAACCAAGTAGCTGATAGTGCCTTTACTGGAGAACAAGTAGTTCTCGTATATTCAATCATTTCAGTCTTGATCTTAACCCGAATCTGTTGAAATCTAAAATCTTCTTAAACATAGTCTATATGAAAACAACAATGTCATTCTTCTCAGGGCACAGGTGATTGAAGATCATTCCTCCTCGAAAACAAGGGAGAAGGGGTGTTGTATCCATGAGGCATCACGTCTTGCTGATGGAAAATATCACTGTCTCTTTCTTTTCCACGATACACTACATGATGCCCTAGTTGACCGACCCACTTCTTTGAGCAACTAGAGTGTGAGGAACTTAGTGACTCTCTTGACCAATATTTCATATAAAGACAAAATGTTCATTATGCACGGACATTTTTGAACAATTTATATATTACTTAAGGGTGTAGGAAACACTTAGTATACCTGCATATTAAACTTTTCCTATCTCTCTCTCTCCATTTCCTTAAGACTGACCCAGTCATCCCTAGGTTTAACACAAAACTGATCAAAACATCCCACGAA